GGGAGTGCCTACTCTGGTACTATGTTTGTGCATCTGGGTGCAATGCTGACCACATTCATGCTAACATAACCATTGTTTGTGCAGCTGGATGCAACACTGACCACATTCATGTTAGCATAATAACCCTTTCGTACCATGTGAGGGAAGTTGGGGATAGCTCTGCGCGGATCTTAGGGTGTGGCGCCGCTGGTGATACGTTGGTGCTAAGTTCGGATGCATGTGGATGCAAAACTGGCCATATTCACACTAGCGTAACCTATTTGGTCTGCTGGTGATATGTTGGAGTAATTTCGGATCCACCCACGTGGATGCAAAACTGGCCAGATTCACACTAGCGTAACCTATTTGGTCCGCAACAGAGTAAGTTAGAGGCGCCGAGCTAGCTACGTTCGTCTAGTGCGTGGTGGTACTGGTGTTATGTTTGTGCTGAGTGGGCATGAACCTGACCGATTTTGCGATTAGATTCATGTTTGCCAACCTTGGACATAGTGCCAGTTACCGTCTTTCCCGGATAAAACGTACAGTCATTATCGCTGTAGCTAGACTGCATGTTGCCCCAAATACAGCTGTGATGATTGTATGTTCTATTGGCGGGAAGACACTAACGGTGGCCTGGCTCTTCGTTGTATGCCCATCTAGACAGATGTATAGATTGATAGATAGATACAGATAGATCTAGAAAGGAAGATAGACAAGATGCACAGATATAGATATATAGGTAGATAGATAAATAGATGGATGGACGGATGGATCAATGGAGCAATGAGGGGAGGGAGGGAGGGAGCATGGATGGAGCGATGGGTGGAGCGAGGGAGGGAGAGGGGGAGGGTTGGGGGGAGGGATGGACAGAGCGATGGCCGGAGCGATGGCCGGAGCAATGGACGGAGCAATGGACAGAGTGATGGATGGAGCGATGGATGGAGCGATGGATGGAGCGAGGTAGGGACGGAGGGATGGATGGATGGATGGAGGGAGAGACGGAGACAGCGACAGAGTGACAGAGAGACAGACCGACCAAGTGACGAACCGACCGACCTCCTGACCGACCACCCCACTGACTGCCCGCCCGCCTGCCCCCCAGGCAGGCAGGCAGGATGGCAGGCAGGCAGGCAGGCAGGCAGGCAGGCAGGATGGCTGGCAGGCAGGCAGGCAGGATGGCAGGCAGGCAGCCAGCGGGACACAGACAGACAGACAGATAGGCAGGGAGGCAGGCAGACAGGCAGACAGACAACATGCTGAGCTCAGTGGTTGCAGCTACCAATTTCCAGAAGAATCTCTTTTTTGTGGAGAGGGTGAATCGCTGACAGAGGAGAGAGGAGCACAGACGAGCTTTAGCGGATATCTACAAAGATATTGTCTGGGTTCATGATGATGGGGTTGTGCTCCTCTCCTTGCTGAAGAATTTAAACAATACAAAACTATAAATAAGTAAATCGGTGTGGTACCTGGTTCCTCATCATGACTGGATCGGATGGGACGGAGAGCTGCAATGTGCTCATGACGGTGAAGGGTTATCGTCAGGGGGAAGAAAATAGTTGGTCATTTCTACAACAGGGTTTATCTGGGAGGGACCCATGTTTGCTTCTGAGTCTGTGTGGTTTGGCTATGGTTCGTGAGTTTGCTTTGTCTGTTGCTTTCCCTAGCCATCCTGTTCTCTCTCTCTCTCTCTCTCTCTCTCACACACACACACACACACACACACACACACACACACACACACACACACAAGATTGGCGACACACCGTCTCTCTCTCTCTCTCTCTCTCTCTCTCTCTCTCTCTCTCTCTCTCTCTCACACACACACACACACACACACACACACACACACACACACACACACACACACACACACACACACACACACACTGGAGAGGAGTGAGAAGCAATAGGAGCTGGAAGTGCGGACTCACGAAGCTGAATGATTCTGCGGGCGAGCGCATGCATTCCTCTCTTTCTCTCTCTCTCTCTTTCTCTGCTATCCCCCCCTTTTCTCCTTCTCCTTCTGTTTGTTTTCTTCCCCCGCTTCTTTCCTTTTTTCCTTTTTCTCTTTTCCTTTTTCTCTGTTTTTTCTCTCTTTTTTTTTTCTTTTTTCTTTTTTCTTTCTCTTTTCCTTTTTTCTTTTGTCTTCTTCCTTTTCCTTCCCCCCTTTTTTCTTTTTTCCTTTTTTTCTTTTTCTTTTTTCTTTTTTCTCCTCTTTTCTTGTTTTTCTTTTTTCTTTTTTCTTTTTTGTTTCCGTTTTTCTTGTTTTTGTACCATAGGAGTGATAGGAGTAGCACAACCCGGGGTTCATGAATTAAACCCCCGGGCAATGAGAACCGGCTAACTGACGATTTTGAAAGCAGCCTGCTCTCGGGTCGTGACGAATAAGGTCGGGGACTGGGGAGATACGTAAGCGCGTGGTATCGTGAGTAGGCCATGGTTTAGTCTTAGTCTTGTGGCCTTGTCGACTTTTCATTTTTTTCTTTTCTTTCCTTTTGTCCTCTGTTTTCTTTTCTTTTATTCGCTCCTGTCGTTTTTTTCCTTTCCTTCTCTTTCTCCCCCTTTTTTCCTTTTTTCCTTTTCTTCTTTTCCTTTGTGTGTCCTTTTTCTGGCCGTAGGATAGATGCGTTTAAATAGGTGAACAGGAGCAATAGCTTGCATTGGAAGGCTGCGATTCTTGAGCACACATCGCGACTATATCAGAACAGAACGCAGGGGGTTCTATTCATCAGATCACCGTGCGGTTAATGGTTCCGACAGCAAACGGGGCTTCGGGTTTCCGCGATTGCGAAGGGTTGAGTGAGGTGTAGGGCGGCATGGATTTCTTCGCCGACTGGGACTTGGAAGAGGAGCAGCAGGAGGTGGAGGAAGTGGTAATGTTCCTGGCAATCCGCACTTTCCCGGTTTTGCTTTCGTACCTCGACGCCTAAGCACTCCGAGGCCGGGCGACATGCATACGGCCTCTACCTGCCCTGCTGAACTGGCTCTGCCCCGCCTACCCCCCTCTGTACCATCGCGAAACACCGCGTTCATACTCCTCCTCTTCCTCGCCCTGCTCCCCAATCTCGCCATAGCCTGTGTGTTGCTTGTTGCTTGTCTTTCCGAGAGAATCTTTCTCCGCTTATCGGCCAGGCGTTTTGCGTTATTAATCGGTTGCACTATCTGCTTTGCAACCCTTTTTCTCGCCAGCTGCTGCTGCCTTTTCTTTGTGTTGGGCGCCGAGGGGTGGCTTGGTGATTAGCCAGGCAGCAAGCGCTGCAAGGAGCGGAACGATGGAGCATAGAACAGCGGCGGAGGCTTCGACATGCGCCTTTTTGGCCTTCCTTTCGTTTCTCTCCTTCCTGTCCTTCCTCTACTTCATCTACTCCCTCCCCCCCCCCCCTCCACAGACCCCTCCCTCCCCCTCTCCCCCGCCCCGTCCCTCATCCCTCAACCCCGTAACCCTCCATCATCCCTGTCTCACTGCACCCCCCTCCATAACCCGACCACTCCCACCCCCACCCCCCCCGCCTTCCAGAGATCGTGGAAGATGTTCCCCCCCTCCCCCCCTTTGATGACGCCCCACGTGGCATGGGGCAGAAAAGCGCTTCAGGGAATTGCCATCCCCTTCTCGCAATTCGGTGAGATGATCCATGCGGATGCAGGAACGCGCTGGATCTGGAGGATAGAGCTGAAGCGGGATGTAACCCTTCCCCCCTTCCCCTCCTCTCTCTCCATCTCCCCTCTCTCCATCTCCCGTATCCCTTTTTTTGAACCCACATTAATGTTTGACAGCAGAGGAATGAGGTGGGCAATGTATTTTGTTCTTGTTACAGAAGCTACGCGGTGTAATCTCTGGTCGCTTTTGGATATATGGACTATCCCCCTTTCTCTCGTGTGGATGCATCCCTATCTCTCTTCACCCTTTGGTTCAATGAATACATCGCGTGCCCTTTTTCCCTTCTCTCCTTCTCCCCTTCCCCCCTCCGTCTCCTTCTTCTCCCTCCTCCATTTCATCGCTCCTATCTTTTGTAGCCAGTCGAGTTTCTTTCCCAGAGTACCTCTTCCGGAGGAGTATCGTCGTTTGCTGCAATCTCACTAAGCTGGGCCGATGAATGTGTCTGGGCAATTGCATGCAATAAATTGTTTTTAATGCTTTCTGTGCTCTTTGATATTTTCTATACTGGCAGATTGTTTTGCGTATCTTGCGTTTTTGATAATTTCTGTGGTAATATGTTGATTGATGCCCCCTCGGAAAACGAGGCAACCCTACCCCCCTTCACTCCGATTCGCCACCAACGCATAATTGGCCAACTTCGACCATAAAACGGCCCTACACTGTGAGCAAAAAAAGCAAGACGCGGGAGGCGATCTTTCAACGCGGCGGGGTAAAACCACTCGTGTGTCCATTTGGTCGGAGTAGCACTGGTATGACGTGTCGTGCTCGTGCGAAACTCATGTGACACACACATGCTACACATGCACACACACACATACACGCACACTCACGTACACACACAGGTGGTCTGTGGATGACTGGTGGATGGAGTGAGGAAGGAGTTTGGGGTTCTTTGACGGCACACACATGTCTGCATGACCAGGAGCAGCGAGTCTGGGTAGGCAGAAATTTTCGGAGATGTGAAAAGGCCTTGCTTTCAGGCCTCTTTGCAGCGGTTTAAATGATATAGATTGGAAAGAAAACAATGGCAGAATGTGGGAGGGGGAAGAAAAAAAGGATGGAAAAGAAACAGCCAACTGAAGCAGGACTGGAGTGAATAGGAATAGTCTGTCACGGCCCCTCGTTTGTTGTCCACTTCTCTCTCTCTGTGCCTACGGTTTACCGAGCAGTTCAGTTTATCGATATATATACATGTATGTACTATGTATATATAAAATGGAATATGTATATGTACATATGACACATGCATTGCACTTGTGCATTGCAGTTGGAGGTGGGGATTGGCTCAAAACTACTCACATAGCGTTTGTATGTTGTTCGCACTTGCCGTCTTCCTTCCTTCCTTCCTTCCTTTGTCTGGCAGACGATGGTCAGATCAACAAGGGCCTACTGGCTGCCATTATCGTGAGCATCAGCGTGTTGGTGGTCGTGTCATCTGGAGTGTTTTTCTTTTTGCTCAAAGGTGTCAGGAGGGAGGGATTTATGAGCAAGAAGAACAAGCTCGCGGAAGGATCGCAAAGTCACCACCATGCGCATTTGCAGCGTTTGCACATTTTCGATCTGAAAAGCCTGCAAGCGGCAACCGAGAACTTCAGCAACAAGATTGGCGAAGGGGGTTCAGCCATTGTCTACAGAGGCAAATTGAGGACTGGCGATGAGGTGGCCGTGAAGGGCTTGAAGGTGTGGTGTGCATTTTCACCCCCCTGATTTTCCCATCC